TGATCTTGTTGGGTATGCTGATGTTGATTATGAAGGATATCTGGTGGACAGGAAAAGCACGTTTGGAATGGCACATTTCCTGGGTTTTTGCTTAATCTTATGGGGTACAAGGAAGCAGAACTCAGTGGCACTCTCAACTGCAGAAACAGAATATGTAGCAGTTGCCTTTTATTGTGCTCAACTACTGTGGATCATGCAACATTTAAAAGACTTTAGAGTGTTCTTAGATTGTGTGCCTCTCTTATGTGATAACACAAGTGCACTCAACATGGCAAAAAATTCAGTTCAACATAAGAGGACCAAACACATTGATGTACGTCATCATTTTCTCAGACACAATGTTGAAAAAGGGCTTATATGCATGAAATTCTGTAGCACTAAATATCAAATTGCTGATATATTTACCAAAGCCTTGAGCAGATAACACTTTGAGAAAAATCGCCTGGCACTGGTGTTGATAAAACCCAACTGAGAACCTGGTCCCTCAATGATTAGCTATGAAAGAAATGTTCAGGTAAAATTAGTTAAAAAGTGTTTTCTGGCGAAGTCTAACTCACCTCTATACCGTTACAGGTAGAAACACATGATGATTACAGAGAAAATAGGAAGCTAATGCAATATGCGCTGGTAAAAAGGGCAAAGCTTACAGATGCAAGATTAGTTAGGGAACCTGGTTCTCCTGGCACAGGTTAGTAGTTTCTCTGTTCCCTCATACACAATTTTGAATGGTTAAAATATGTGCCACGCCATCAGTGTGTCAATTTATTTTCTTTGCGTCTCTTGAACCTAAATGTCTCACCCGTTAGAAATCGACCGGAAAACTAGTGCCTTTTCCTAACCGGTCCCTCATCAATCTTAATGCATCCATCACTGTCAAATCTCCTCACATCAAACGCTAAAACCTTTCTTCTTTTTCTCTCTTTCAAACTATCCATCTCTTCTTCTCAGTTCATCACTTCTCTCTATAGATGAAAATATCGAAACCTCAAGTGTCCCTAGTGACACCTTCATTGAGTCCTCAGCTATTCAAACACCGATATTAGACTTCTCCCTAGGGCAGAGTCACCCCCACATTCCGTTTCCTCTCCTAGCCAATCGAGTTATGGTTCTCATAAGAGTCATAAAATATCGACTCAAAAAAGGTTTGTAGCCCCGATCTCTCCTCCTATTTCGCCGAAAAAAGGGATGAACAGAGTACTGCTGACAAAGAAGTAAATTAGGAAATTTCAAGTTCTCCTATGGAAGAAGGGTCAAAGATAGATCAAACCGACGGTTCTGAGAAGTTTGACTCAATAAAGACTGCTCCTTCTTGTGTCCACATGTAACACTCCTTCCTCTACTGAGTCTTCCATGGGTGTACAAGAGAAAGAGGCAATAGAGAACATGTTGTCCATAGCTAATGAAGGGGTTGTTGTAGAAGGAGGTGAGGATGGTTCTGGGACTCAGGGGGAAGAGTCTAAGACTGTGGAAGAGGGTAGAGAGCTTGTTCCAGTTGACCAATCGACAAAAGACAATACTACTAGGGTACCAAATGAGGGACCTGATCCCTCCCAGGAGGATCCAATTCAAGGGTCCTATCCAAAGCCCCAGGTTAGTATTGATCCGACTCCCTCACCTTATTTTGATGTTGAACCTTTGTGTGTGGTGGTTCCTGAGAAAAAATCTATGTCTAAAGTGAAAAAAAAGGGATAGTGAAGAAAATTCTGATGATTTGCCAATAGCAAGCTTGACTAAGCGTAGACCAATCTCTGCTCAAGAGTTTACTCCTAAGCGACCCATTACTAGGTTGCAAAGAAAGGAGGCTCTTGAGTCTGATCCTAAGAACAACCAAGCTAAGTCAAGGAGAAGAAAATTGGTGAAAGATGGGGAAGCTGTGAGTGAGAAGTCAGTGCCAGTTGTGAATGGGGATGAGGAAGAAGCAGAGGAACCTATTTCCTTGACTAGAAAGCTCTCACAGAAGCATGGTCTCCCCAAGCCAAAAGGGGGATCTTCTATGTCTGCTGAAAATCTGAACAAGTGTGCTGATTTTGCCTCTAGGGAAAGTGTAGTTCAAGAATCTGATGATAAGTCTGTGGAAACGTCTGGTGCTGGTGTGATGGAAGAATTGGGTGAAAAGTCTATGAAGTTTGATGAAAAAGGGAAGAACGTTCGCAAGTCTGCTAAGAGAAAAGATGATACTGGTGAGGAACCTGGTTCCTTAAAGAAGGTCAGAGTTGGTGATCCAAGAAGTGCTAGGAAAAAGAGATTGAGAAGTCAAAAGGTGCTATGGGTCCGCACATTTGCCCCCGATATCTTGGAGGAGGTTGGTATGAGACAAGTGGTTGAGATCTGTGAGTTCCAACAGTGGACCCATTTGTTCACAAATGATGCTCCAATGGTGTATGAGGAGGAAGTTCAAAGTTTCTATACTGACCTATTCAAAGTTGAGGATGATCACATCTGTGTGTTGGTGAATGGAGTTGATATGGTAATAGACTTTTCTCTGTTGGGGTCCATCTTGGTGTGCCTAATGAAGGGTTGTCTAGTATTCATGGATCCTGTTCTCAAAACATAAAAAATGCCATCTTAAAGGACAGAGCAGTTCAGCAGGGGGAGCGGGTTCAAAAGAAGGCCCTCCTTCCTGTATACCAATTGCTATTTGAGATCGTGAACAAGGTACTACTGCCTCAAGCTGAGAGAAGATCTATCACCTCTCGTGCAGACCTGTTCTCCATGGAAGCACTGGACAACTTCATTACCATCAATCCGCCTGGGATCATGATAGAGCACATGAATAAAGTGGTAGACTTTAAAGATGGCAATCATGGGCTGCCGTATGGGTTCCTTTTCACAAAGGTCTTTAAGCACTTCAAGGTTCCTCTAGGACAAGCTAAAGTAGTTACCAAGAAGCAAACTTTCTCTAAAATTACTCTTGAAGAATGTGAGTGTATAGAGAAAGTTGGAGGGGTTGGAAGCACTTCTATCATATCTCAGTTGATCAATGCTCTAAAAAGTGCTACCTCGGAGATAAGGCAATTAAAATCAAGGAATGTTATCCTTGAGACTCAGTTAAGTCAGCTGCAAGAGCCACCTTGTTACAGTAGCTCTCAAAGCGAAGAGGTTACTCGTCTGACAAAAGAGAATGCTGAGCTCAGGAAACTAGTGGAGGACCTGAAAGAGAGACTACACAATGAGCAAATATCAGAAAATGCTCGAATGGATTTAGTCCTCCAAACCCTTGCCTCTGCCTCTAATCCCTCTCCTTCCAGTGCTCCCTAGACAGTGTGTCTTCTGTGTCAAGTCTTTAAGTTTGGTTTATTATGATCTATTTTGTGGTCAAGTCCCTCCGTGTCAGTTCTTATGGTAATGTTTGTGGTATTTTTTTTGTCGTTCAAAATTGTGGATGGTGGTAGTAACATTGACTCTGCTCCTGTTGAAAAATCCAAATTATGTCAATGCAAGTTTTTTCCTTTTTGCTGTTTATGCCTTGTCTCTAGGCTCTATTTTTAGCCATGTTGTGTGCATACAAGTGTCATGAGTTACCTCACGCTAGAATTCTTTTTGCTATATGCTTGTTGATATTCTTTTTATGATGCCAAAACAGGGAAGAATAATGTGCATAATTGAATAATAAGGGGAATATAGATTCAGGGGAAAACTTAAGGTCTTTCTGGTTCACTGTCTGGTTCTGTGTGGGTATTTTTAGGATTTTTAATTATAAGTTTGTCATTATCAAAAAGGAAAAAATTGATAGGTTACAAGTACCTTATTTTATGTTTTGATAAAATAACAAACTTACTGTCAAGAACCAGATAAGGAACCTCTTACATATTCTCAAGACCTTAAGATCAAAAGATTCCAACTTGGGATATGCTTCAACTCCTCAAAGTCAGAGGAAAAGCAGAGGGAACAAATATCTATCGTTTCCCGAGGAAACTGCATAAGTCAACTGCCCAGTTGTAAAGTTGTTGCCTGCACACGCTACAGTACAAAAACAGTGCAACAACTAACCTTATGGGGAATGTCTTTTACCTACTTTGCTTACATCATCCCAAGTGATGTCACAAATATATTATTAACATCAAGGAAGGTAAAATACATCACTTGAACACTTAGAGAATTTACTCAAGCATTTTCATGGTCATTGATCATCAGAAAATAATTCTCAAGTGCATCAAGAACAAAGAACAACACTACCACGGACCAGTTCCCTGCAACAAGTCATTGTATGTCCTTAGTTGAGTTGTAACTTTATAATAGTCTTCAATTGTAATCCCTACTTAGCTTGTTTAGAAGTATTATGTAGGAAACCCTTTGTAAATCTTAAACCTTTGTGTTTGATTCTTGGCTAGAGTTAGTCGAGTTGTAAAGTCTTTGTAATAGAGTTATTACGAAGTGACTTGTAATAGAGTATTACAAGTTAGTGAGGGACTAAGAGGTTAATTCCTAGGTTGCATAGGTTGTAGTCTAAAAGTTGCTCAGTAGTGAAGTTGAAATCCTACAAGGGTATGTCATGGGTTTTAATCCCGTTGAGCTGAGAATTTTCCACGTAAAATTCTTTTTGTTATTTACTTACTGCAGTGTGCGTGTGTTCTATTGAAACTGATCTATAGAGTTTGGTGGACCCTTAAATTCTATCGGGGTAAGTTTCACTGAATCCTAAATAATATAAAAGAGTGTACATAAATATATTTGGTTATCGAAATCAAACTTCAAAGGAAACGTGTGTTCAAGAAATTAAATAAACAAAAAGTTGCTTACAAAAAGAGTAGCAATCATTCTCCAAAGGATATATCTGCTATTTCCTCCTCCAATAATAATATGGAGCTACAACTTTATTCTCTTGCTCTTGCTCTTTACTTTTCCTTCTGAGTGTGAAGTTATTTAAGAAATTAGCAAAAAAACCTACTCTAAACTTGCCTCCAGGTCCATGGAAATTACCTCTCCTAGGTAACATTCACCATTTAATAAGCTTATTACCTCACCATACTCAGAGATTTAGCCAAAAGCACCGGACGTTAATGCACCTGCAACTCGGTAAAATCTCTACGATAGTTATTTCGACTCCTCAAGCAGCCAAAGAGGTATTAAAAGTTCAAGACATCGCATTCAATAATCGGCCTGAGCTTTTAAGTGTCAAGATTTTGTGTTACAACTATTCGGATATTGCTTTTGCACCCTATGGAAATTATTGGAGACAAATGCGTAAGTTGTGCACGTTTGAACTCTTGAGTGCCAAGAATGTACAATCATTTGCCTCTATAAGGGAAGAAGAAGCATTCAACCTTGTTGAATATGTGAAATCAAAATCTGGATATACTATTAACCTTACAGAAAAGATGTATGCTCTTACGAATGCTGTAATTTGTAGTGCAGCATTTGGGAAGAGGAGAAAAGATGGATCAGCATATTTTATGTCTTTGATAAAGGAAGCGTCTTTAATGGTAACAGGTTTGGATATAAGTGAAGTGTTTCCTTCACTCAAATTTTTGCATGCTATTACTGGGACAAAAGCAAAATTAATGAAGCTTCACAAAAAACTTGACATGATAATTGAAGAGCACAAGGAGAAGCTGCAATTAGTAAGCATGAAAAAGGATGGTGAAGAAGAATCAATTAGAAAAGAAGATTTAGTGAATTTGCTATATTTAAGACTCCAAGAAAGTGACACTCTTGAATTACCTTTCACCGCAGACAATATCAAAGCATCCAGTCATATTGGTGAGATGTCTTTAGTTTCTTTTTATTTTTTTACATTAGTCCATTGTAAATAAGTCGTATTATTATTCATTCTTGAAATGGCTGCATTTTATCTGAATTTCGGCTACCAAAGTAAAAATAGCACGGTATAGCTAGTTTTCGGACCGGTCATTCAAAAGTAGCCAGCGTTTACGAAGCCAATGAAAAATAATCACTATTTTGCTGCAACAAAGACAGATCCAGCATAATATACTGGAGTTCGGTGCACCTGTGTATGAACTCCAGCATATTATGCTGGGCCGGTATACTTTGCTGACTCCAGTATAATATACTGGAGACTGGAGCACCGGTGCTCCAAACTCCAGTATATTAGACTGGACAATTATACTTGCTGGAACTCCAGTATATTATGCTGGAATTCTTGTGTACTTATGCTGGAACTCCATCATATTATGCTGGAGTTCTAACATACTTATCCTGGAACTCCAGTATAATATGCTGGAGTTCAAGCATACTTATGCTGGAACTCCAGTATAATATACTGGCGTATTTTCCGGGTTTTGAATAATATTTTCGCTCAGATTTATCTTACATGAAAAGTGACTAAATTTCGATTACTTTTGAAACATGGTTATTTTTGAACGACCAGTTGTAAATCTAACTATTTTTGAATTTCTCCCCTACCAAAGGGTACGTGTATGCTGATTATTAATAGAGATTTAAATAATACACACTGAAATAAATATGTTTTAATTTTTAAAATATGATAGCAAGTTATTTATTATTTTACCAGATAACTAGTTCATGCTTATTGAAAAATACTAATTTTACGATACGTGCGTTGCACGTGTAAAACGCGTCTATTAGTAAGAAAATTGTATATGACGAGAACGAACTATGTATAATAGCAGTTAACGTCCAAATAAATTCAACATGCAACTGAAATGAAAAATGAGTGCATTTACATTGATGTAATAGGTGAATTCAAATATATTGGATATCTTCTGAACCTGCAACCAGACCCCGCGGGGGAGGGGGGGGGGGGGGGGGGTAATACATGTTATGTTAATGTCTGAACCTGCAAACGTCAGCACTTCGATTAGTTCAGGTAGTGATATAGCATTTATAATTATAAATAATATATTTTATGATTTAATAACAGTTATGCTGTTGTATCTTACCTAATATCTCTTTATATACAATATTTAAAAAAATTTTAAAAAAATTATTTAAAGAAAGATTTAAAAGAAATACTTAGAACCACTAATAAGGATTTAACATATTAAAAAAAATTATGTACTGACGTATGTTAATCCAACCAGAATACGCCTACTACTAAACTATTAATTTAGACATTTTTTACCTTGTCACCCCTTCTAACCTAGTTAGAATCCTCTGATGTTGCAATTTTTTATGGAGAACTACAATCCATCATCACTAATATTGACGAACATAAATTATTTCTTGTTGGTGTGTAAATCGAAAATTTTGACTTTCTACATTTATGAATTTATTTGGAGATCATACATAGAGCAATATCATATAAAATTGAGGATTACTATGTTTTTGTTCACATATACAAGAACACACCTCATTGATTAAGCATAAATTTAAGCACAATAAATTTAAATTTTTAATAGTAGCGTAAATATCAAATAAAGCTGAAGTAGTTATCTTAGTATATATTTAAGTAAATTGATATTAAGAAATATCTCAATCTCAAAGCTTAAATAGTAAAAAAAAAAATATCATTGCTAAACTGCAAAAAAGCCATATAACTTTCATAATGTAATAAATTAGACATCACAATACAAAATAAAATATTATTTAAGAGATCAATAAGGAGAATTATTTACCTGAATCAATAAAAACTGTTGAAATTTTGGGTAGATGCAAGATCATCAATTGCCAAGGACTATTCTTTAAGAATACAATTTTTGATATTGTGATATGTATTATATAGTCAATTAAAAGAGATATTTAAATCTAAATTTTTCTTACAAAATATGAACAACTTGAGGTAGCATAACAATTAGTAATTAAAACTATCAAACACAAAGTGCAAATAATCTTAAATTAATAAAATTTTCAATTTATATGAGTTATGAAATTTAACCATGTGACATATGTGACGATCCAAAGAACTTGTACAACATTTGTATATGAGTCAACTTTAAACCAATAATCATATATAGGACATTGTAAATAAAATCACAATTGATAAACTTTCAATATGTAAATGTATATCAATAATGCATTAATGACCATGATTACATAACTTCAAGAATATAAAACAAGGTAGAAAATTTTACCTAAATTCACAAGCAAATTTACCTATACGTACGTTGATACTATAAACAGTTTATAATAAAGAATATAGAATAATGACTTCTTTATAAAAGTGATTAGCTCCTCCTTATTTTAACTGTTTTAATTCTAAAATTTTAGAAACTTAAATTGAATCCTAAACATAAATAAAGCGAGACACAATGTTACCATAAACTATGATTGATAAACCAATATTAAATTAAATCCTAAACCTACACAAAAGAGACAATAAAAAATGCATCTTAAACCGATACAAAAAAATAATAGAAAAAAGACAATACCATATTAAAAGTGAAGAATCCAAAGAATCCTAAAAGTAAAGGAAACAAAAATTCAAGAATCCTAAAACTAATGGAAACAAAACCAAAGGAAAATAAAATGTAAGGCAAGAATAGAATTCTAAACCTAAAAGGAAGAACGCAACGGTTTTTGATGTTGGCCAAAAAAAGTTAGATGATTACAATTACAAGTATATCCAATGTAGTTACAAAGAGTAAAAAAAGGCGAACGATATTTCGATAGGGTCTTGCATTTAATATAGTACTAGTCTCTATGTTCGTGCGATGCACGAAATACCTTGTGTCAAACATCAAAAGTAATNTCATGCTTTTAATATAGTACTAGTCTCTATGTTCGTGCGATGCACGAAATACCTTGTGTCAAACATCAAAAGTAATAAACTTTCACTTGCATATATATTCTAAAATTACTTGTTACTAAATATGTGTGAATTTCATAATCGATTAAAACAAAATGAAGAATATGTAAAAAGTCACTAAATATTTGAATTAGAAGGATATATCTTTAGGGGAAAAGGAATTAATGGCATAATCATAATAATTTACTCATATTTTTGTTTAATCCTACATAAATCTATAGACTATTTTGATATAAACAATAGAAAATAGAATTACAATTAAAGACTACCTCTTGATTTTGAAGCCTTACGTCTTTAGGGGGAAAAGGAAGTAATGGCCTAATTATAATAATATACTCATATTTTTGTTTAATCCAACATAAATTTATAAATGTTTTTGGTATAAACAACAGAAAAAAGAATTATAATTAAAGACTACCTCTTAATTTTGAAGCCGAAAAAAATAGGCTGCTAATTATGTATTCTCCACATTTAAACTTACTCTATTTTTTTGTTTGTTTTAGATATTGTTAGGATGGCATTGGAATATTACGTTATGGCTTAAGTTTTTTTCCCCAATGAAATTTAAGAAGTTTTATTATTAGTTGGTAACAAACTCCTATATTTTAGGCACTATAACTTTATTCACGTTATTTTATGGTTTTAAAATTTTAGCATTAGTTGGTTTCAACCTCCTATATTTTAGGCAGTCGATGTTACAGTTTTATCCCATATTCCAATTTTTTTTTTGAAGAAATAATTCAATTGTGAAGGGTATAAAAGTCGGACAATATTTTGAGGATATTTTTGTCGTTCAACATTTAGCGTTTTAACATTCGTGCTTTTATAATAATATAGATAGATAGATAAATACATATAATTACCGAATAAAATGACCTAATTGTGTAAATATTTTTTATCCCATTAATCATAGAACTTAAACTCTATTAATAGAAGCCCATTATCAATATTTTTGAAAACATTTACTAAAAGAACTGATGATCATCATTACTACTACTAGAAGTCCTTTGGATAAACCATAAAGTACTTCTCTATTCCATTTTATGTGTCATTTTTTTTTATTCGTTAAAAAAATGACGCATTCTATATTTGAAAATAATATAATTTTAACTTTCTTATTTTATTTTTAATTGCATTCTTTTATAGCCACGTAAATTTCATGGAAGGTTTAAGATCATAGACTTCAAAAGTTATTTTTCTTAATCTATTATATGTTGAATCAAACACCATCACATAATTTGAAATCGTTGGAGTATTTATGTAGGTCAAAGTTACAAGATATTCATTTGATGAGTTACCTATAATTTATAAGTTGCAAGTAGTAATAATTGCATGCAGGACATGTTTTTAGCCGGGACTGAGACTTCAGCAACCGTTCTTGATTTGGCAATGGTAGAAATGATGAGAAATCCCAAAGTTATGGAAAAGGCACAAATAGAATTGAGACAAATTCTCAAGGGAAAAAGAAGAGTAACAGACACTGATTTAAAAGAAGTGAGATATCTAAAGTTAGAAATTAAAGAAACTCTAAGGTTAAATCCCCCACTTCCTTTGTTACTTCCAAGAGAATGCAGGGAGCAATGTGTAATTAATGGATATGATATAAATTCCCATAAAAACAAAGGTAATTGTAAATGCATGGGCAATTAATAGAGATGTTGAGTTTTGGGAAGATGCTGAGAGCTTTGTATCAGAGAGGTTCAATGATAGTAGAAATAATATGGAATTTATAGGACAAGAGTTTGAGTATTTACCATTTGGAGGAGGAAGAAGAATGTGCCCTGGAATTTCATTTGGTTTAGCCAACATTGAGCTGACTTTAGCTCAACTTCTTTATTATTTCAATTGAAGCTGGCTGAAGCCTGAGGATCTTGATGTTACAGAAACTCCTGGTTCTAGCTGCAGAAGGAAATGTAATTTGTACGTAAATAATGGAATAATTGATAGCTAGAAATTGTGTAGCAGATGAATAATTAAGAAGATGAAAGAAAATGTAAGGTACTTAATTCAAGTGTGATTACATATCAGTAATAAA